CTCCGTCAGCTACTTAAATAGTCCGTACAACCAGATGTTCTCTTGGCACACGCCGTGTAGTCAAGGAAACTGCTCAAACACATCGCACGATATCTCATGGGTCAACTGCTAGTTGCGGCCTTTCATAACATGCTACTGGGGACACTCTTTTTTAATTCAATTATATATGTGTACACCCATCGGTCTGTAGGCCTTGGTATACGCATGAGTGTGTGAATGTGTATGTGTGTGTACATCTGTGTATGCTTTTATATATATATATATATATATATATATATATATATATATATATATATATATATATATATATATATACACTTAATTATATGTATGTATATACACACACTTAATTATATGTATGTATATACACACACTTAATTATATGTATGTATATACACACACTTAATTATATGTATGTATATACACTTATCTATATATATGTATATATAAACATAACATTCATAATTTGTGTGCATTTTATGTTTTTGAAAAAAAAGAGGCAAAACTATTTGTTTATAAAAAAAAACTTGTAGCAGTATTTATTAAGCATGCCAATTTCGGAGTTATCTAAACAAAATTTAGAGAGAAAAATATTAAATACTGACATGCATATATCTGGGCTGGTGTGTGCATATATTATTCCACAAAAATGTTTATTTTAACTTGCTTTTAAATACGCCTTCTTTGCGATAAGGCCAGTGCTGTATTGACTATAAATAGAGGGCATTTTTTTTCTCTCTCCGCATGGCCGTCAGATTTACTTGATACGAAATGCACTCCATAACTGCTGATTCACAGAATGCGATGCACTTACAACTAGCCCCACTCACGCATGCCGGCACCACCCCACCCAGGCCACGGCGTCATGTTAGTAGATGATAGTTCGCGAGGGTTGTTTAGCCGAGTGAGTAGTTATTTGAAAGCCGCCAGTGCATAGGTTAGCTGGTGATTCGTCATGTTACGGGCCGGTTCGTGCTGTACGCTCTCTGCGAGTTATGACGTGGTCACAGTACCGGCAGTCTCGTGTGTTATTGACTAGTGCTATTTCACACCGTTCTCACCGTTTGCCGGGATACAGGTAGGGGAGTTTCCTCGCTGTTTTTTTTTTTTTTTTTTTACAACTCACGCTGTATGAAGTTTAGCATCAGGAAGACATTCATACTATCATGTATTTTCTTATTTATTTATTCCTTATGATTTTTCAATAGTGTGTCGTGTTAAAATACCAAGCATTAAGCGAATAGTCTATTTTCAATAGTGTGTTGTGTTAAATACAAACATTACGTGTATGGTTTTTCGTTTAAATTTTAGTGTCACCAACCAAACCGGGAGTTAGCTTTTATTTCAATTTATAATTGCTGACCATAAATATTGCTAACAGTTTAATGTTTATGTGATGGCTTGTAAATGGATATTTCCTTTGTAGTTGAGTTTTATTAATAGGCGTGTAAATATTGACATATTTTTTTTTTTGTTACCACAAAGGCGTGTGTTCTATCTCAACACACGTGCACGCGGCTTATTAGTTATAGCCTGTACTTGAACCCAGCATATCTCCTTTGTTACAAATTACGTAAAATTGCGGAAAGCTTTTCCTTCTGTCTTTTATTAAGGAGCTAGGTCATTTACACCAGCGGGTATTTAATTGACGAGAAAGATACTAGGAAACTTTTATGGAAATTATTTTTTTCTCCTTTGGGTTTAGGGTTACATGAAGAGATATCATTGTTGTTATGGTTAAATGTATGTCTAGAGTTAGGTTAGAGAATAAAAAATAAAAAAACTACTATTATTTATCCCTCCGGTGATCATAAAAGTACCGATTAGAAAGGCCTGTCATTTGTGTCAAGATTTGAACTCTTTAACCCTTGTAAAACTTAAGCAATTAGATCTAGTTTTTTTAAAGAATAAGTAGTCACTATTTGTATATAACTTTCCCCTATTCTATCCTCAAAACACATTGATTTATGATGTTATCCCGTTAAAATACAGTTTACAAACTATTTTAACAGTGTGGTTTTGTGGTCTATGGCCTGAAGCCAGCGCAAAAGTTTTGTGAAGGTTTTTTTTTTGTTCACCGCACTTACACTTAGTGCAGTCACTTTTGTTTACTTCCGTGCTGTCGATTGACTTACACATGGTTGAAATATGAAAATAAACATGTGTATGTCAGGATGGCAGTAAAACAAACAGCTTGATGGTGAGTTCCTGTCAACACCGCCTGGCCAGTCCACTGCCCTGGTCAATAGTTAAGTCTTGGGCTGGTGAAGATTTCACGTAGTCTATGTCAGCGGTTAAAGTGACATTTCTTACACTTAGTCTTCCCTGACTTTCAGATGGTGTTTTTTTTTCTAGAGAATATGGGTTTTCTTTTTTTAAGGAATATAAAGTATGGGTTGTATAGAAAAATTGTTCAAAGGCTGGCTCTTAGTAAGACTTCAGTTAAATAGTTGAAAAGTAAAGTATAAAATATTGTTTGTTTCTTTTTTTTTTTAAAGATGTGTAGAAAGTTTTAAAACTCATACGTTTGATAGTAAAGTAAAAACGTGGGACGTCAGTCACATAAAATGTGTAGTTTAAATTTCGCATCAACTATATCAGATGTGAAATGAGATAATTTAAATTAATGTAATGTTCATGGGTTTTTTAAATGGATTAAACTGGATTATTGAATGAGTTCTCCATGCCTGTTAGTGTATCCATTAGCACCCTAAAACTTGTATCTATGTCTGATCTATTCTCGGTAACCGTCTTAATTATATGCATTTCTCGCCCACGTCCAGAGTCCGCTGTTGTTGACGTGTTTCTCCACATCAACCAAGTTGTCACACATTCTTGACTGGTGTGTAAAACATCCTGATGTTCCACTAACACGTAACCCCGAGGCGAAGTCCCCAGCACAGCGTGTATGTTTCAACACTTTAATGTAACAATTACAACCTCCGGCTTATTACCCACGTTTAATTTACGTTTTTCGACCTGATACATAGGCGGCGTTCAGTTTCTTTGCGCGCCACTGTCCTCTTCTGGTGGGTGAATACCGTGGCATCACGATCTGGCTCTACTCCGGTACAGTGTACTCAGCGCTGCGTTCAAATGGAGACTGACTAATCAATATGAGCTTGTATTATTCAGTACAAACCTGCGATATTTGGACTGTATTCACTCACATTCAATGTCAGCCACGTGAGCTCGTATTTAAATAAAACCGATTACGCCTTGGGGAAGGGGGGGGGGGTAGGTGGGCTGGATTGTCTGGACGATTAGGGCCGGTGACATCACAGTTTTAAATTAAGACTTCAATTTACATTAGGTGGTTGATCGAAAAGGGTTTTCTATTTTCGTCCCATTCCACGATCTTATCAAAACGTCACAAGCCGCTGGTCGCGGCTATTGTTTGTTTATCTATCAGCAGGCACGGAATCCTTTGATATCATCTTATAATCCCTTTTCGCTCCCCCGGAGAGGGCAGAGACAACATTTGTTCAACCAACTCGATTCACAGATACCTTCTACGTCTCGGGCCATGCCATTCTAAGGTCCTTCATTTCTCAGCTGTTTTCTCTGAGACGTTCACTGTCTCCTTCGTGTCGTACAAGAGCCAGTTAAATGCGTGAGTCAGAAAGCAAACGGCCGTCGTGTAGATCCTGGTGTAATATCCGACATTATTGTGAGGAACACTGGTGTATGTAGCAGGCTAACACAAATAGGACTTGAACAAAGTGTGGCTTTGTCTACATACTTGACTGCTCTAAGGCGTGTGCTACCGACTCTCTTAGCATCGCTGTCATGTTGTCTACCATCAGAGCTCACGTATACCCACGTCGTTATAGTACGTTTTGTTTATGTTTTTTTTCAAGTATTATCTCGTTACAGTATTATGGGTTAGTAGCTTGGCTTGCTTAGCTGATGGTAAATATTACACGTGCAGTACAACGAATTACTATTTTAATTGAAGGTTGTGCGAACACAGGGTAAATGACCATCATCGTTTTATGAGTAAAGAAATATTTTTTCATATCATTGGTTTTCATTTTTTTGTCTACGAACTTTCGACTATAAACTGGTAGAAATATTTCTTTTTATTCTGCTTTGATCCTTTCCATTTATATAAACGATTTCCAAGGTCGATTTAACTTGCAAGTTGTCAAAAATAGATGTGCAATCAATGAAAACACGCGCTATTAGTGGCAACGCCGTAATTGGGCCAAAGATTTTTAACATTGATGACGTAGGCGTTCGCCGTATGGAGAAAAAAAAAATAATACAAGTGGATCGTCTGCCTCTCCACAGAAATAACATGTTTAGCTAAAATAAAAAAAGCATTTTTATCTTGCATTAAAAAGGGTGTATGCCTACATGCAAACGTTAGGTTGATTGATTTTCAAATCCCCACTCGAGAGGTTTCGATGTGTGAACATTTAAATTAAGCTGTTAATACGTTTTAATATTATTAAGGTCAAAGCTTGTTTTTTAGCTGGATTAAAACTATTAGTAGCAGGTGTTGGCATTAAGCTTAAGTTAATCTGAAACTTGTCGTCTGGCTTTCTGAATGCCATACACTTAGCTTATCTATAGGGTAACTAAGACTATCATCTGGATTTCTCTATGATGTGGGTGGAACATATGTGTAGCTTGACTTAAACTAAGTATGGCAACTTGCTTATAATGTCATATCTAAATAGATTAACTAAGAATGTGAAAGGGTGGAGTTGAGAAGTAGGGCACATGATTACTAATCCATAGATCTTGAGGTCAGTTCACATGTTTGAGTCTGTAGGTTATACCTGAGTCTATCCACAGAATTAGATTAACTGTTTTATTTGCAGTATTGACTATCAGGTGTTGAATAGCATTTCATTAGATAACATTTTCACATGGATTAATTAGGGCTTTTGGTTGATAAATGAATAATAAAACACTTAAATAGATGCCTGTAATTTCCTGGTTCTTTATTTTTTATTCTAATGAAAAAATAATGTGAATTTAATTTTCTGCAGGTTTGGATGGCCAATCTCTGTACTGCACTGAAGTTCTCCCAAGTCTGTCCCCTCCCAGTCAACCAGTTCCAGTTGAGGGGGGTGGGACCAGCAGACGTCTGGTGACTGTAAATGGAGCAGCCAGCAGCCAGCCAGTCCAGTACACCATTATTATCGCAGACCCTCACCTCCAGCAGAAGACTGGCAGCAGCAGTCAAACCATCAGCCCTGGTGCCACAAACATTCTCCTCAACACACTAGTGCAGCAGCAACAGCAGATCCACAAGCAGCAGCAGCAGCAGCTACAGCAACAGCAGCTACAGCAACAGCTGGTGGCCATAACCAAGGCAGGGGGAAGCTTCAACAACTTCATCTCCAGCTCCAATGCAAGTATTATAGTCAACAACAGCAGTTTGAACGGCAGCAACAAGCTAAGCACCTTACTCAACAACGGCAACAACGGTAGTAACCTTACCAATGGTGGCAGCATTACCAACCCCCCACTTGTGACTGCTAATTTAGTGGACAATAACCTGAATAATAATAACTTAGATGGGAAAAGTATTAGCTTCAGTATCTCTTCCAATAGCAAATATCCTGCTGCAGTGTTTGACAGTGGGGGTTCTGAAGGGGGCATCGTCATTCTCAACTACACAGACTCAGGCGAGTCTGGCACTGCTACTCTAGCCAACATCAACCAGTTGGTCAGTGTGCACAGTACTATAGCAAACAGCAACATTGACTTCATACCTCAGGGCTCGAATCATCTTGTTAAGGCGGTTAGTGATAAAGCTACAATTCTTTGTGCAGATGATAGAGGCTACAGCAATAACCATAGCCATTCCTATGAGAAACCAGACACTTTCCACATTAAGGTTGCCTCCAGAAATTCTGATTCCTACGACCATGGACAGGTGGTAGAGAAGGAGAGTTTGGAGTACAGTGAAAGCGAGGAAGCGCACCACAGCCACATCACCCAAGTGTTGAACCCAGGAGAAGCTCACCAGCAAGAATCCAACCCACAGAGTGACCAGTTGTCAAGGGGCATGCACAGTGGGCGCATCGGTGCAGGGTCAGGTCAAACTCAGAACAACCATCAGCAGCAGCAGCATCACAGCCCCACGTCCTCAGCCACGTCTGCTGCCAGTTCCAGCCAAGGAATCATGTTGTCCGCAGGACAGCCGGCAGTGCCCTCAGGAATTTTTAGAACAGGCACTGAAAGCTCTTCAGCCCAGCATAGACTCTCAGGGAATACAAACTATGTCCCCCAGCAATACCCAAACCTCTACGGTGTACATGGCCAGGCACCTGGACACTTGACCACTCTACAGCCCTATCCGAACTTTTTCCAAGCAACTTCTGGACATGTGTTTTCCCATAATGCTCTTATGACTGCATCGCCTCAAAGCCATTATCCACATATTGAGTCCTATTCTGCTATGTTGGCCAGTATGGGAAGCCACGTGCAACATCGGAGTTTTCAAGGATCTGACAGGTAAGAATTCATTTTCCTTGCCATCAGTACATTTATTTTTGATTGGTTTGAAGAAGGAAATTTTGGGTATTTCTGTCTACCAGTTAGTCTTTATAGAAACAACAGTATCTGCAATGTTGAGAATAGTTTGATAAAACTAGCTGATGCATTTCTTTTTCTCCTTTTGTCCAAGTCATCTAAAGTCCATTGAGCAGAGTGGTACCAGGTTTGTCAAGCAGTGTGCTAGTCATTGACCTGCAACTTTACCTTTTACCTTTAAATTTTGCACTTTATTTTATAGGGTCCCTTGTAGTAGATCCTTAGTGTGTGGATAGTCAGTTTGCATTCTCATATCCATTGATATTTGAGGCAATGGGTCAATTTATCTTTGGTTATGTGCTATAGTTAAGTAGGCCTTAATAATTAAGAACCCACAACTAGTTCATAATAAGAAAATTAATAAAATGATACTTCTGTTTAGTGACAGTGGAAGCATTTGGTTCTGTGTTAAACATTCGTGGAAAGAAACAATAAAACACTATCTACACTTTGCAAGAAATACAACCAGGCCTTATCTATACTTTGTGGTGCCATAGAAATTCTGTCAAACTAGTCACAGATGTGCAACTGCAAAGTCATATGCACTTTTATGATTAATTTATGATACAGTCAGTGTAATGCAAAATAAATAAATAAACAGTAATGTTCTTGTTTCATAATTTTACCAATAAAAATATTTTCTTTTAAATGTTGACCTAATAAGTCTAAAGTAATGTCATTCAGTACTTAAATGAACAAGGAAGAATAAACAGCCCTAGTTTTCCAATTCATCTTAGCAATAATTTGTTGATTCATAGGTTCTTGTTTTTTTTTTCTTTGACATGTTAAATGTAAACAAATTCGTCAACTTGTTGAACTCATGTATGTTAAATGTGGCTCTTAAGATAATCAGCTCATAATAGCTTCTTTTTTTAACTCTGGAAATGAGTACAAATAAATTTTTAATTGCAGTTGTAGATAGTGAATAATTTTAAACCAACAAATAACATTTGCTTTTTGCACAATGTATGTGTGGTTCATGTTTTGTTCTATTTTAATTGATGCTTTTCTCATAATCAAATAATGCTTTTTAAAAATTATTTATTTTTTATAATATTATAATTGCAATGTTTTAATGTATTGCTATCAGCAGGGTGCCAAGACTACAGACACCTGGATCGTCACTCTCTCAACGTCCGTTCCACTCCACATCCACACCTGGAACACAGTACCCCACAATAACATGCACTCCCCCACACCGTCATTCTGGCAGTAATTCACCAAGCCCCGGGCCTCCAACAGGCTCTCATAACCCTTCAACCCCCAGCTTATCCTCTCACCATTTGGAGAAGTTAGCTGCTGTGAAAGGAGGGTCTAGCCACCAGGCTAGAGATGATGAATCTAGATGTTTTGGTGAGGCACCCAACGTGCATGAGGATAAGGCCAGTCTTTCACCGCCCAGTCCTTACCTGCCTTCCGGTCATGTGCCGAAGGTTTCATTTGATTCTGTTGTCAAGGAATATGGTGGCAGAGATTCCCCTTCCATGAGGGGAGATGGTTATTTTAGGCCGTCTTTGAGCGGGAAAGAAGGGAGCCTGAAGCACAGAATTCTGACCAGGCCATCAGACTCTGAAATGGGGGATGATTTGTCTAAAGTGAGCGGAGTGCACGGCCTGAAAGATGAGCCTATGGCCAAGAGAGCCAAGGTGTCAGCACCAGTGTCGTACAGCGCTCCGGCCACCACTGGGCTCCAGGGTGAAGGTCATAGGTCAAATAGCCACCACCTCACCTCGTCTCATCCCTCTAACAACAATAATAATAACAACAACCTTGACAACCATAGTGTCCATTACTCGGACAGCCCTGTCGGACAGTCCTACCAGCCTCATCTCAATGACGACAGCACTGGGAGTAGATACAAGCAAAAATCCTACCACACCCCATCCCCATCTTGGACCTCCTCCCCGAGCTCACCATCCTCAGACAACCCACCCTCCCACTTGCAGTACCCCACCCATTTCATGAAGGGCTCAATAATCCAGCTGGCTGATGGGACCCTCAAACGGGTGGAAGACCTGCAGACCGAGGACTTTGTGAACAGCGCAGAGATATCTTCAGATCTCAAAGTAGATTCCAGCACAGTGGTGAAGATAGAGGAACACCCTGACCGTGGGACTGCCATGCTCAGCTTTTCCGTGGGGGAGCATAGAGTCCAGGTAAATTTCTATTTTAAAACATCACGTTTCAAGATGTTTTACACTGTTGTGGTCGCACGCTGATAAAAGTAATAGAATAGACCAATAGAATGTTTCCTGCTGATTTCAATTTTTTTTTATCATTCTGTTTTATATTAGATGTAGTTGTTTGGATATCAGAATGTTTTGATTTTAGATAAAAAAAAGCATTTTTTGAAATAAAAAATATTAGATTGTATTAAATGTTATAAAAGGTATGAAATCACAATAACTGTCATAAAAACATTTTATACAAAACTATTTTAATACCTATCATTATTTTTTAAATATGATTATTTTTTAAATAATATGATGCAAATCTTTAAAGTTACCTGTAGCACTCTCTTTTATAAAAAGTGGCAGTTGTCATTCTTGTAATTGTCATCTGTTTTGTTCTGTATTTAAGAAACAGACAGATTTCTCATTAAAAAATTAAAAAAGAATTAAGAAGTTGGCTGGCTAATCTCTTTTGAAGACAGTTGTAAAAATTAAACCTGATTAGAACGAAGATGCTTATCTAATTCATCTTGAAAATGATTTTCTTTAGCAGGCTGTTTTTGCACTTTGCTGTTTTTGTTTTTAAAATATGCTTTGCTAATAGAAATAAAATGTGTAAAAAGAGTTTCATTTTTGTGCTCTGTAGGTGACGGTGGAAGCAACCCTGGAGCATCCCTTCTTTGTGTTTGGCCAGGGCTGGTCGTCATGCTCAGTGTCAAGAACCTTGGCCAGATACGGCCTAGACTGCCAGAAGCTGAACGTGGGCGATGTCTGTATATCCCTGACACACAAAGATGTTAACCTCAAGGCGGTTGAGATGAGCCAGCAACAGCAAGACCAACAGAGCTACCTTGGCGATCCACCCAGCCAGCAGGAGCCATTCTCACCTTCAGCAGCTCTGTCTGCCTCCTCTTCATCCACAGCGCAGACCACCACCTCCTCGTCTCCGAGCTTACCTGTGAGCTCACCTGTTCAGGTGAAAACAGAGGGCAGTGATTCGAACTTCCTTCCACCTTCCTCAGTTTCGATGAAATCATTAAACAAACGCCGTCTGTCCCAGACCGAACTCCCCCCTCCTCAGTCAAATATAGTCCCAGTGAGGAAGGAAAGCGGCAGTCATGGCACCAGGAGAAAAGTAGTGCCACACAGGAATGAAAGTGAACCCAGAGAACAGGAAGAGGACATGGAGGAGGAAGAGGATTCTGACTCAACATCCTCCCTGCGACAGAGAAGATGGTCTGCGCCAGACCCCGGGACGGTGAAGGCAGACCAAGAGAGAGAGCGTGAAAGACTTTTGCAGGCAGATGAAGCTCAGAAAGCTGAAGAAGCCTCTCAGAAAAGCAGCAGTGACCATCAGTGAATTAAAGATATTCTTGTAGTATAAACCTTTCATTTTTAAAAAGAATATATTGAAACTAAATTTCATTTACTGATTTAAAAGTATAAACAATATGTATGAGCTGTAAATTTGTTACTTCCAGTTTTTCTCTGCTAATGTATAACTTTTGATGTGGATGATGAAATGTTTTTAAGTGTCTGAGAAATCCAAGGTTGTAGTTATCCCCTCTGAAACTGCTCATTGATTCCAATGAATAGATGTGTATAGAATTAAATTAATGAACTTGTAAATAAATTCTTAAAAATCAGATTAATATTTTAGAATTTTTACCAAAAACCTATCAAGGTATCTTTCTAAAAAAAATTTCAGAAGTGTTATAAAAGCAAGGAACCCTGTGAAAGTGTCTAGTTATTTTTTTAATGTAAAGATTCATGGTGGTACATTTATAAGAATGAATACTAATACAATATATTTTTGGAGAAAGTAACTATTTTAAATAACTTTTTCATATTCCTCTTCTGAAGCTATATAACTGAAATCTATTTTTAACTATATAGTTCTTTGGGAAATGACATACTTTAAGAACACAGATTTTATAAAGTTTAAAAAAAAAAACATTTAAAGGATTCATATAACCAATAGCTTAATTGTTCCTTTGTCATTGTAACACCATTAAAAATATTTTTCATTGCTATTTTTTGTTTAATCGAAGCCAGAGATCTTACCTTAATTACTCTCACAAAAGGGGACCAAATTAAAATTCTCGTACATCTGAGTATTCTTAAATATATTTTTAAAATTCAAGTTCTATCTTGCTGCAAAATTTTAATGCATTTTAGTTTATTATTATGACAGAAGTTGAAACAAATTCTTTTAACCTGTTTAATTTTTAGATTTATTTGTTCTGGAATCATATCCAAGTAAAGTATTGACATCCATTTTAAAAAAAAAACTTTTTTATGCCTATTCAAATTACTTGATCTTAAACATTAATTAATTGCAATTTTTGGACTACATAACTTAAATGCTGAGTTTTAAGTATGGCCCCATTCTGATCAAAGCTAGTGGTCTTAAAAGGTTTTCAATTGTAATCATTAGACCAGCACAGAGGGGAAACAAGCAGAAGCCTTAGTATTTTAAATAAATCTCTTTTTGTTTTATAGAAACATAAAAAGCAATGAAATTCTTGTGTGTATGCTATTTTTTTGTAACGACAAAATGTGATTTTTATTTTTCAAGATTAAATTTGTATCATATGTATAAATACTATTCTGCATCACTCTTTACATAAGAGATAAAAATGAACCCTTTAAAATGTGATACCATATATTATTATTAAATTATCTAAATTTTAAAGGTATTGAGAAGAGGAATGTCTTAAGTTTTTGTGTGCTACTCTTTATACATCGTATATATTTGTGCAGTCTGTTGTTTTCTAATTAAATTAATATTTGCTTTACCTATTTAAAAGAGGGTGATAAGAATATACAGCAAGCTGTTACTTTTGACTTGAAAGCAGCTAAACTATAAACTTCAATCCACCCTATTTCCTAGTTTTAGAAAAATGTATTCAAACTTAGTATATTTTATATAAGTCAGTGGAATTTCTAGCAACTTTCTTATTCATTCATAAAATTTACCCATGTTGATTTATATCTTAACTTTAAAAAAATGTGTATTTGTCTTTTTTTTTTAATTGTAGAAGTATACCATATTGATTTTAATATGTATAATACTGTAAAGGGTAATTTTAAAAAGAAAATTAAAAGGTGCATACTTCATGTTGGTTTTAAATATAAATATAAATCTTCAAGATGGTTCATTTTTTTTACTAACAATAACTTGCCAGTCGTTTTTATTCAACTAAAGATTAAAGTACTGAGATAAAATAAGTTTGTAAGTCTACATGTGTTTCAACCTTTTTTTAAAAAATAAATCGCTTTACTAGGCATTTTAAGTTTCCTTATTTTAAAAAAACTAGTTCTAATTTATATCGTGTCATTTCTTCAAAGTCATGATTAAGGCTTACTAATGTTTTGATTCTTAATATCTAAAAAACACAATAAAAATGAATTCTTTGTCTTACTTCTCAGTACTATCTAAATAGGTCAGTTTTAAAAGTTTTAAAATAATTATGTTCTAATTATTTTTTATATTCAAAAAATATTTAGTCTTTTATCTTGGGCAACTTTTTAGCATCATCCTTTTAAAACATGCAGTATTATAAAAATTTTTTTAGCTTCATTTGATTTTACAGTGAATGTTTTTAAGAAAGAAATGCTAAACAGAATACCATTTTTAAAATATTCTTTTTATTTTAAAAATCACTTGTAACTCTTGTTAACAGTGGATGTATTATTTGAGGTGATCAAATTTTCTTATAAAGATCCAGTAACAAAAATTGTAACAATTTTAAAGTCTCTCTTGATTATTATTCTCTTATCAAGACAATGTAAATATCCTTCCTACATTTTTCTCATTTAATGTGCAGCGGTCTTTATAATGCTACTCTGTACATATTAACATTGTAACAAGCTTAAAAAACAACCACTAGCTAGCCACTCAGTTTTTAGTATCATCAATTCATAACATGACTCCTCAATAGGCAAATTACAGACATAAATATCTGGGCTGGGTTGCTTGAAAATAAAACATTTTGATAGAAATTGTTATTTTGTGATGACATTTCTGTAACAGCAACTTTCAATTAATTGTAATTGATCATTGTGCTAAAAAAAATGTAAGTAAACTTGCAACATGACGTTACTTGTATAAAAATTCTCTGGTTAAAGGATTCGTATTAGTAAGACGTAGAGTTTATATTAATAAACAGTGTCTTTCATGTGTGTTAGTATGTGTATAAATGAATATATATACTACCATAAAAATATGTGTATTATGTGTGTATATATACATGTATATATACATATACACTTATGTAATATATTTCCTTACATTCTACCTAAACAATTTAGATGTGATTAGATGGATTCATGTACCAGTTTTACATTAAGCACAAACTTCCTTATATTTTCCTCATTAATAATTTTGTAAAATATTAATCTTGTATTTCACTTTGATAGACTTCTCTTAATCTATAAATTTTTTAATATTAATCAGCACAAATCTGTGTCTTCGGATAGATTTTACTTTAAACTTTGACGTTTTATTTATGAAAGGAAATAATTTTGTCAAATTTAGAATAAAGTGGGTAATATTTTAATTTTTAAAATGTTTTAAAATTGTCTTTTCAAGAAATATTTTTTAGCTGATTAAATAGCTTGATAAATATTTAATAATTGGAGGCTTGTAATTATCTTTGAATTGTTTCTGAATTCACTACTCTCAGTGCAGCACCCATAACAATTTATTCTAAAATATATATTACTCATTATTGTGTTTTTCATGTTTAATTATATTTTCTTGATAAATAAATTGAAAATGGATTAAATGTTTAAACCATTACATTTATTGCACCTCTCATTTAAATAGTGGATGCTGTTCATTAATTGATCTATCTACTATTGTTGATGTTTTCTTGAAAGTTTATTTTAATATGAGCTTTGACTTTTTTATAAACTTTAACAGTTGAATACTACCTTGTTTTCAATATAGTTTAAATATATTGATGAACAAAAAATAATAAAGAAAAGTATTACACCTTTGGTGTAAGGTACGGTAGAGAAATGAAAGTGATGTGACTCTATGCTTCTTGTGATATTTGCAAATATTGTACATTTTCTTTTAAATTTTGAATTAAGTTAAATTGAAGATATTTTTTCCCTCTTTATTTTATTGTTTATGTGTTCAATCAATACATGTGTGGAACAAGGTGAAAACCAAAGTAAGCAGCCTTAGTATTTGTATATAGAAACTTGACTCTTCACTACAGAAAGTTTAAGATATTAAGAATGTTTTTTAAGTTGTGTGTATTTGTTTTGGAACTGAAGAAAATGTGTTTTCTGGTAAAAATTTAATAAATGAAGAAGAAAAATTAGTTGAGCTAACATTTAGCTCTACTTCATCTGTATGATACTCAACAAAATTTTTAATCATTGAATGCTGGAAATAAACTGTTCAAAAATTCTAAAAATGTCGGCAAATTTTTGAAAATTGTTTTATAACTTTTATGTAAGTGCTTGTCCACTGAGGGATGTAGATACAAAACTAAATGACAAAAAATACAGAACAGACACTAGATCAAGAGCACTTAGTGAAAACAAAATAAAGTTATACTGCTAAAATGACAGAGTACTTTGCATTAGATGTATTAAGTTTGTTAATTAATTAATCTTCTTGTCAGGGCACATGATTTGTAATAATGTAGTTACGCTCCTGCAAATGATCATGGAAAGTAGAAGTTATCACTAGTTAAATCCTGAACTGCATAAGCTACTGAGACTCCATTGGCCATCATACATGCTGACCATGTCTAAAACAACTAGTTTCTTTTGGACACTCTCCAAAAACCAGACAACTAGTTCTCAGGGTCTCTAGAACACTTTCATTGGGTCACTTGTAGTATGTGTGTGACCTTTATACTTTATCATTATTTACACCAGCACAAGGAGTTTTTTTTATTGGCCTTCATCCATGGAAGTCATACAAGTATCTTGATTATTTTAAGTTAATATGGTCTTGTTACAAAATCCTTAAAGTACAGTTTGAAATATGCCTGATATATTTAACCAAAACGTCTAGTGATGTTGCTTACACATTTAGGAGCACCATAAAGACACCTATCAAACCTGTGCTATTTAATTCTTACACTAATCAACTGGAAATAGGTTTTTTTTTTTACATTTTGTCATGTCTTCATAATAGAGTTAAGTGCAAAAGATAATTTTATATAAAAAATAGAATTCCTGTCTGTGAAGCAAAGACTATGTAGTACAGTTTAAATCCCTACTCATTATAAGTAAGCCTAGAAAGCAGCCTAATCTGTTTTAGACATAAGTTAACCTAATGTAAATCCTGACTTGAAATGGCTAAAATTATACTTCCAAAAATTATTTTATTGGTTAAATCATAACTCAAACTGATTAATGTTGATACATCCTTAACCCTTTTTTTTAAAAATAGTTTTAAAAGATTAGTAGTCTCGTTAAATTTTATATCAAATAGCAATGATACTGTATATCATTACAATTATCTTTTTTTTTTTCAAGAAAAATTATTCATATTATTAGCTGATTTTTTTTTTTATGTCTTATGTACATAGTATTTTCCAATTTGAAATAGCATTTAGTGCACTGGCATTCATTTAATAGTCATTCAGTTTTATTTCCAATTTGGCATTGTCTCTTCTGTGATCTGTCAATTTTAAAAACTTTTTAACTGTTTTATTTTTTATTTTAAATGTATTTGTTGCTGTTTTTTTTTTTATCTAATCCCTCAGATCCACTGGCCACATGTTACATAAGTTTGATCTTTGACTTCTGTTGTATGTAAATAAGTATGATTGTATGAATGATCTCATACCATAGGCATTTTACCAAAGTCAGAAGCAATTTTAAACTTGTTTAAAAATTTTATTTTATTTGTTTTAGCTCATAGTAGGTGAGAGTGAATTAAAACTAAAGGGAATTCGTAAAATTTTAAATCATATTTAATTTTGACGTGACCATAAATCATAAACATAAAAAAAAAAAAAAATAGGCGTAAATGTAACATTAAACTTCAGCCTTAATTTTTCATAGACTAACAGAAATGAAGAAAAAGAAATTTCAGCAGATAAAATTGTTATGGCATCTTAGAAAAAAATTACCAAAATGTCCTTCTTGTTTTTGTTTTTTTTTTTAAATTATTGTTCTATTTTTTTTACCTACTAGACAGGTTCTAGCCTCTATGTTCAATGTGGAGCAGCTAAAGTAGGAAGGAGAGTCTGTACATAGATAACTTGATACAGTTTTTTTTTTCTCTTCCTCTACAAGTTAATTTGGTTCTGTAACTCCATTGTTTCTAGGTGGTTGTTCTGGAGCTGCCTGTTCATGTCTCCTGTTCTTCAGTGTTGGTGTCTTAGCTTCACATTGTGGTGATGGCATTGTGTCTGGGCATCTATTTACTGATGTCTAATGCTCATTGTCTCCCCTGTACATAATCTTTCAAGGTTGTAAGCACCCCCCCCCCCCCCCCACACCTCATCCCAACCCTGTCCAACAAATATGAATCCATTTCAGTTTGTTACTGTATACCCATATCTGTATGTATACTTTTCTCAAAATGCATTTTTTTCTATAAAACAAAAAAAATATTTGCAAATGCTTGTTATGACATCTGAACAGATGTTGTCAAAGAATATTTTGAATTTTTATTGAATGCTGTACATTGTAGTGCTACTTTGGTTATCATGTCAAATAAAAAAAAGATATATGTTGATTTCCATATGGTTATTTGTCTCATTATTTTTTTAAAAATACCAGTATGACCCAAATTGTATTAATTTCTTACTGCCAAAAATTTAGTTACCTTCCTATTATAAGGAACTACTAGGCTCATTTCCAGGCTAATGACTAAGTTTGTGTTGAGTAACATTAGCTTTTGTAATTCAAAGTATCAAAGTGCATTAGTTAATGGCTTTGTACTTTCTTATGCACATTATGCCTTCACTTTAAAATATATCTACTTACATGCCACCAAGTGTCACACTTCTGCCAAACATCAATCAGGGCCTATATCTCCACTTCACCAATTACCACATTCCTACCAAACCCCACTCCACAAACTTCAACTCCACCAAGTTCACTTCCACACCAAACTATAGGCAAAACTTTATTGTGATGTTGTGATTGGAGCAATTCAAATCAGATTCCACCCAATCAAGAGTTTGTTAATATTTTAATTGTGCACAGTGCTGTAATCTGGTTTCATTCAGCAAAGAGGATAGTTAAAGCAACCTCAACTAATATTTTTGTTTAGTTTCATTTTACACTCAGCATAGATAGCCACTTGACACTGAAGTTTATTCTAAAAACAAAATACTCAGTATTTTTTTTTCAAGTGGGATCACCAAATAAAATAAATTTTAAAATCATAGCCCACTTCAACACCCCCCCCCCTCACCCCAATACTTGTAAAGGTGTTATTGTTATGTGAGGCTGACTGACATTTCAGCCAGCCCAAGTTCTATGCATTAAAAAAAAAACAACAACAACCATTTGTGGGTAGTTCAGGTATGATACCCATCTAAGGAAGAATGAAGCTTTGTTTTCATAGGTGATGTTGGCTTTGGTGATTAACTCTTCCAAAAATTAAACTTTACGAGCTGACCCGTAGTATATGCCGCCATCTAGTTGTTTTATTTTTTGCTTATCAGCAATTCATAATTTGTGTATTCAACACTAACCCCCTCCCGCCCTTCCCCCCCCCCTCCGGCCCAGTGAAAGCAACCTTTTACAGACAAAGAAAAGATCAATCAGAAATTGTTACCTTCCCTTCGTTTCAAATCGTTTAATACTAAATGATCTGCCCCCAATAGCCGTCACTAACCCGGCTCTACAATTGTAAACATTTGGGGTGAACCACAGCTTACCTGACAGGTGGGGATGAGGGTGGTGGCTAAGCTGTGTGGTGTTTTATATGGTCTCCATGAAGAGAACTATATATATATAGATATTTAATTAGCAACCAGTATTCTGAAAATACCATCAACAGCTGCTCCCCTACCCTCTATGCTCTTTTGGTGAAAATGGTGAAACCATTTTACTATCTTAGCGTCCATCTGCTGGTTCTAAAAAATGTTTATACAAATAAAATTACGCTTTTTAGAACAAATCTGGTCCAAGGGAGGTAACCGCGAATAGATTGTTATTATAATGTAACTGTCAAAGGGAGGTAATACAGATAAAAATATTCTTAGACACCGACTATTTATATTATTATTAACTTATAATTATTAATAGTGTGCAAAACAGTAATTCAAAACTCATATTGGTACAGACGCTCGAAGACTGACCCATGTGATTTGTCTTTTCGAAAAAAATTTTTAACAGAACAATGGCGTATTTCTGAAAAGTCATTACGTATTGATAAAGAATTGACTTAACGACATATTTTTACTTTCTCGTATATACGAAGAATAGAGAAAGTCTTGTAATCGTGCAAAAAAAAAAAATCAAGATTTTTACAAATCTCGACGTTTTACACCTCACTGATTCGTAAAAAACATAATTTTGCAATCTTGTCCGTATGTCTGTGTGTCTGTCTGTGTGTAAACACGATAACTTGAGTACCGTTACAGCTAGGTTGATGAAATTTCATATAGATCTATAAGTATTTTATCAAAATCGTAGATCCGTATCAACTTTTGAGCGATTTCCGATAACCGGAAGTGGTACTTTTTCTACTTTGAATTTTTCAAAAGCCTATAACTTGAGTACTATTTCAGATAGATAAATGAAATTTCACATGTAAGTAAAAGATCTAATCCTCTACCTTCTGTCAAATTTTGAGTAATTTCCGTTGACAGGAAGTACTAATTTATGCTATTTCCGATTTCTCAAAAAAAAAAAAACGCATGTAAATTTATAAAGTACTAATAATATTGCGCACTATTATGCACATCTTGTTTTGGCGTTCGCTTGGTGCGCAATTCTTTTTTCTATGAGATTCTATTCTATTTTTAAAAGTTTAAGTAATTAAAAATCATGTCTATATTCCAAGTTATATAAGAATATTCGAGAAATGTTTCTTATCCTGCATGATTTTTCATGGTTAATGAAATAACGAGATAAACTACAGTGATGCCCCAAGAACCGAAAACATCGTAGAACGGGTGTCTCGCTGAATGAATGCATAGTTTCATTCAGGCATCTCTTCAGGGGTAGGGGCACAGTGCACCCACCAGACAAAATAGAAGAAAAAATCAGATCTACAATTTTTATGGAAAATGTATAAGCTCACTTTAACCTGTGTCAAACCTACCCTGAAAATTTCAAGTGCCCCCCCCCCCCCCGAGAAAAAAAGCAGAGGCGTAGCGACCCTTCCCGGCGCCCGGGGACAAACTTTCAATTTGGCGCCCCTCTCGGGAACAACCTTTCAATTTTTAATTTGCACCCCCCCCCTTCAAACAATCGATTTGCACCCCACCCCCTTAAACTTTCAGTTTGTACCCCACCCCTCAAACTTTTAATTTGCACCCCCCCATACTTTCAATTGTTTTTCCAACCCATTTTGGCGCCCCCTAAGGTCGGCGCCCGGGGACATATGTACCCCCCCCCCCCCGCCCCCCTCTAGAAAAAAGTCTGGAAGAAACACTGCCCCCGAACGTTCCAGAATAAAATGTCGGGAAGAAACCATATTCATAGGAGTACCCACATAGGCCTTTGTATATATCATATAAATTTGAATATCCATTAGATCTAGATCTATATATTTTTTCTAGCTTAAATGTCGATGTGCTAATTTCTAGTCTACAAAAGATATTTTTTTCACACAGATCTAGATCTAGAAGGAACAAAAAAATAAGATTAATGACAGAACACTTAAAATATTCCATTAATATGGTAGACTATCCGATAATTATATATTGGAACATAACATGCATTTTGACCATAAAAATATACTGCTACCTATCTCATTTTAAAATATTTGTAAATAAATAAATAAATGTTTGAGTTAAAAAATTGTTTTGTTTACTCGAAGACTACTTTTTTTTTTGTTAAATCCTGAGGCGTGGGACTTAGTTTTTCAAAACACAGGGCCTCGCTGGAGACTAAGTCCATTTACTGCGCATGCCCAGTGACATAAAATTGGGACTTTGCCGCAGAGCATCTGTCCGCCATTTCATATATCTGAAACCTATCTCACAACTTTCTCTCAAATGTCTTCGGTTGACGAGGATCAGTCATCACAACCTTCAATAGTAAGTTCTATTTTATCACATAATTTTTTAATTGAAAAGTCTGTGTTGTTGTTCATTCATACGGGACGTTGTGCTAGGGCTAAAACGAAGATTGAAAATCAACATTTTGCGGCTAAGTCCCAAGATGGCTGAATTTTTTCTAAGTTCGAATTTTGCGGATCCTTGACTACCTTGAGTCTAACATGGACTACCTAATTAATAAGTTTTTAAAGTGTTAGAGTAGTTCATACATGTTTTCTTCTTGTATATAAATACGTTGTTAAAATTTAGCGTTTGTCTTCCTACAATATTTTAATTATTTTCTAGCTAAGTTCTATTTCTCTTTGTTTTCTCAGGGAGATGGAGACAGCTTTAGTAAAGCCAAGCCAGGTAAGCTAGTCTAGAGACAGTTGAGTAAATGGGCTCAAAGGTGTTTGTTACTGTTACAGCACATTTACAGTTGTATTAAATGGAAGTCTATTTGAATAACCCCAAAATTTAAGATATAATCTAGATCTAGATTCTATCTAGTCTAGATCTAGATTAGAAATCTAGATTCTAGAAGAATTAACTTATGAATAGGCTTATTATTTTGAGATTTTTAAAAAGATCTAGATCTAGATCTAGCTAGACAACTTAATTTAAAAAATAGTGGTTCTTATCCGTTTTGGAGGTGCCAAACCCCGGCAGTTTGTGTTTCTAGACCTGGGCCAAACCCCTGTGACTGTCTCACAGAACAGCTGGGGTTTAATCGAAACCAGGTTAAGAACCACTTATCTAAAAACTCATGTCATTTTCTCTGAGTTCAAGCATAGATCTATATCTAATTACTAATAAAAATAAGCCTAACGTAATTTTAAGTTGAAAGACCTAATAAAATAGAATATTCGGAAGGCTCGTTAGCCTCAAAGCAGTAATAGAATAATCCTGGGTTGATAGGTCTAATACTAAAATAGGTTAAAAATACTTAAAATTTAGTCTAATATTAATTAGACCATCATCTCTGAATGAATGAATTTTTTTCACTTTTAAACTTTCTTACTACTAAGCCTACATTTTCTGAAATATGTAACTAACATGAAAGCGTATGCATGGTCTATTATTTACAAAAAATAATTGGAGCAACATTGCTCTATCATTAAACTTTTGTTTTGAGGATTACATTTCTTTCTGTAAAAATAATTGATCAAAAATAACTATTTTAATGTATTTTCTACAATTAACCCATGCAACTTTAAACGTCCCATCTATCAACATGGCTATTTTAGTAGAATAGTCTATGAAATGTTGCATTTTATGCCCTAAAACCTAGTGTTTAATCTCATGAGATGTATTGTATTATATTACATAGACTACTATTGAGATATTTATAATTTATTACATGAATTTTTAGGAATAAAATGCAAAATATATTTCTCAGATTGGTTTTTATATTTATAGGAAGTTTTAAGTTTTTTTGTTTTCTCATTATTTTTTCATGTTCTATTTTTAGCTGTAGCCTCCAACTTGTTCTGCTTGGCTTAATAAATTTTATTTGCCATTGATCCAAATGACCTCTGCATCATTTCAAATTATCAATTTAATTTGCTTTATGTTAAATAATGAGTCCGATAAACCACTAAAGTTAATTTCAAAGTGAGATGCTACAGCTAATTTTCAATGTAATTTGTTTACTCACGTTTCTAAGTGCAATATTTTTTTCTGCTGTATTGATTTTTATTTTTTAAAATTTTCTAGTGGAAGATAACCACGTAAAAATGAATGGGCTAAATGAGGATTCTGCTGGTTCTGCCTCTGAGAGTGGTGGGGGTGGTGGGATTAAGGAGCCTAAGGAAAATGGGTTTTCTAATCATAGTATCAAAAGTTCTTCAAGTAATAAGCATAGCAGTTCCCACCACCATTCTTCAAAAAGTAGCAGTTCTGACAAGCACCATAGCTCATCAGATTCCAAACACAAGGATGGGAGTTCTTCTTCAAGCTCAAAGCATAAAGACGGGTCATCAAGCTCAAGCTCAAAACATAGAGATGGCTCAAGCTCCTCATCGAAGCATAAAGATGGTCATTCTTCATCCTCATCCTCTAAACATAAGGAAGGGAGCAGCTCTAAGCACAGCTCTTCAAGTTCTTCCAAAAACAAAGAAGGTAGTTCATCCTCCAACAAAGACAAAAGTAGTAGCAGCAGCAGTAGTAGCAAGCCTAAGGAGGGCTCCTCATCTGACAAACATTCAAGTAGTAGCAGCAGCAAGCCAAAGGATAGCACTTCTTCACACAGCAGCTCTAGCAGTTCTAAAAACAAAGATCACCACAGTAGCAGCAAATCTAAGGAAGGGGGCAGCAGTAGCAAAGACAGGTCTAGTTCTTCAAGCAAGGACAAAAGCAAAGAATCTAGCAGTAGCAGTAAAGATAAACATAAATCCTCATCTTCTTCATCTTCTAAACATAAGGATGATGAGAAACACAAGTCATCTTCTGAGGGGGATAAACATAAGTCATCATCTAGTAAACATGAAGCTGAAAGGCCAAAAAAGGAAGATGTTAAAGTGAAACAGGAAGAGCCAGAAAAAAGTGTTAAAAAGGAAATAAAGACGGAAGATGATGTTGACGTGCTTAGTGATTCACCTGAAAAAGTAAAGAAGGAGCCTGAGAGATTATCTGTATCTCCTGTTAAAAAACCAGCTATAAAATCTGAGGATGAAAGTGATGATGATGATGACAAACCATTGGTAAGGTTTCTATATTTATTATTAATACATATAAGCTCTTGCTCCTATTAATGTTAAAATATTTATTTTCTTAAATGTTTGATGTTTTTTAGTCGGCCCGTAAAAAAGAATCTCGTTCCACAAAAAGACCAGTAGAAGAATCTGATTATTCAGATGAATATCAAGATGAAGAAGATGAAGATAGTGATGTTCCATTGTCAGCAAGGTAGTATTCTATTTGTGTAGTATCTTGGAGGTTTACTTGATTCTTGACTAATTCTGTGAACATTCTATTTAGTTGTCACTGATAATTTTCTTTAAATAAAAATTAGGGGGGGGGGTGAGAGAAAGATGGGTCATTGGTAAGATATTTTTGAAGAAAGACTATTTGCCAAACACATGTCTTTAAAAAAATATATTTTAATGCATCTAGTCTATAGAATTATTATTCCTGTAAATTTAAATTATACATATTGATTGAAAAATATTACATTTATTAGTAGAAATATGCACATTCTTTAAGAGATATTTTTCCCCATAGGGCTAACAAAGCCAAGAAGCTCAAGCTTGATAAGAAGGCACCCAAAAAATCAAATGCAGTAGCAGATAAGGTTAGTTCTGAACTTAAAAACTGTTTAAAATGTACATTCTGAATTTCTATTTTGACATTTGTGTTTATCCGTAGCTTTCTGTTGCCAGTGTAATGCTTACCTTTCAACTGAAAAATCAAATATGCATGATATTCCATAAGCTGAAAACTGCATATATGTGGATTTCATTTAAGTTATGTTTAAAAATATTTAAAAATTATTTCATATTACGAAACTTTTGTTTAAAGAAAAGTACACAATTGAAAGTTGCATTTTAACTATTTTCTAGAAAACAGCACCGGCTAAAAAGCATAAGATAAAGCATGAAGTAAAAGAAGAATCTCACGAAGAGCCAGCAGCAAAAAGAAAAAAGAAAGGAACAGAAGAAGAACAGGAAGTGTGGAAATGGTAATTTTGTTGTTTATCTTACATTTGTTTAGTAGAATTATAGGAACACTCTACAATTAGGGTACGTCTTAAGTGTTTTTAAGTTGATTATTGCTCATGAATTCTGAAGTTACAATATGCATTTGTCTACCTCAAATTTGATATCAAAGTAAATTATTCTCCTAGAAAATGCCTTATGAATGAGACATTTGTTTTTGAATGGCTACCATACTAAATCTCTATTCCTTTGTAATGCTCTGTTTGCTTTTTCCCCTTGTTAATTTGAGTAGTCTTTACTCAACTAGTGAAAACTATAGTTTTCTGAAGTAGGGCTTATTTTTCAGTAAATATTGTAAAAATAATGACCAAAAAAAAAGCTTTAATGTCTAACTAAGTTTGTAGTTGCAAAACTGTATTAACAAGTGATTCTTTGTAAATGAACAATGCTATAAACATTAACTGATGGAATAAATTCCAAGCGTCTCTTATTAATGGATTATTTCCCTTTAAAATTTCAAACTTATTTTTATGATGCTATCATAATTTTTTAGGTGGGAAGAAAAACGTGAAGACAGTGGTGTTAAATGGACATTCCTTGAGCATAAAGGACCAGTGTTTGCTCCAAATTATGAACCTCTACCAAAAAATGTTCGCTTCTATTATGATGGTAAGTCATTTTTCAGACCTTTCAACTGTTTGCTTATGCATTATTATTGGTCAACAGACATTGCTTAAAAATACACTACTAGTTAAGAACTATGTGACAGTGAACTTTTTAACAACTGTTATGAATGTGTTAAAATATATGAACAATTTTTACTGCTCGAAAAGATGGCCAGAACTTGCAACAAAACGCATATCAAAAATACACTGCTTCCAAAATTGGTGATTGTGTTATTTTATCACTACTGCAGCCGATTTGTTTAAATTATAGCAGTATTAGTTGCACCAATTAAGCAGATAGTGCTCATGCTATGAAATTCGACTTCCGTTTTCCTCAGGTAAACCAATGCAGTTAACTGAAGAAACAGAAGAGCTTGCGACATTTTATGGTCGGATGCTTGATCATGACTATACAACTCGAGATGTTTTCAATAACAATTTTATGAAAGACTGGCGAAAGGTAAAAATATTTAACACTTCTGTCTTTTGATTTGTAAAAAAATCGAGGTGTATGAAGCTGTATAAATTGTTTCTAATTTATGTATGGCTCTATAATTTTTACAATTTTATTTTAGGTCATGACACCGGAAGAAAAAGCAAAAATTACTGACATAAAAAAGTGCAATTTTACAGAAATCTTGGAATATTTTAAAAAGAAGTCTGAGGAGCGTAAAGCAATGTCAAAAGAAGAGAAACAGGTAAGATTTTACAGTTTTCACGTGTATTTCTTTAAATATTGGTTCTTTCATTTTAACAAATAATTTTTGCTTTTTATTTAAACAGAAAATTAAAAAAGAAAATGAAGAAATGATGAAAGAGTATGGATTTTGTATAATTGATCACCATAAAGAGAAAATTGGAAATTATAAAATTGAACCGCCTGGCCTTTTCCGTGGTAGAGGAGATCACCCTAAACAAGGCATGCATAAAAAGAGAATTAACCCTGAGGAAGTGATAATAAATTGTAGCAAGTAAGTAAAGTTCAGTACAGAGACAAGTTTAGTGTGCTGTCATTTTGTAAATTATGATTGCTAGTTAACACCAGACTTGCAAAATGTTTTCAGAGACTCCAAGATCCCAGTACCACCTCCTGGTCATAAATGGAAAGAAGTACGACATGACAATACTGTCACTTGGTTAGCCAGCTGGACAGAGAATATTCAGGGGGCTACAAAATATGTCATGTTGAATGCTGCTTCCAAATTAAAGGTAGTGCTTCTGATTATTTTGAACTAATAATTCTTAATTGAGCATTTTATCAGTCCATTTATGTACATTGTGAGTGAAGTCAGAAATAAATTTAAGTAGAAAGAATCTTGAACATTTTAATTTTGGGAAAAAAGAATTTTGTGTTTGTGCACATGTTGACAAGGATAGACTTATGATACTGTAGAAAAACAGTAATCATAACTCAAGTTCTGTAAACAGTTGACTTGTGATGGCAATATTTAGCATATTTACCACAAGATAACTAACTGTTAAAGTAATCATAGTTGAGCATAGTTCTACAATTTTTCGAATTCTGTTTAAAAATTTAGGGAGAGAAAGATTGGCAGAAATATGAAACTGCTAGAAAACTTCATAAATGTGTAGACAAAATCCGAGCCAATTATCAGGAGGACTGGAAGTCAAAGGAGATGAGAGTTAGACAAAGAGCTGTAGCCTTATATTTTATCGACAAGGTATTTTGGTTACTATTTGTTTCTAAAAACTTTTTTTTTAAAATTAGTCCGTTACTTTTCATACAAATTTTTTAACTTAATGTCTACAATTTTATTTTTTTATGTAATTTCTGAAAATGTTAAACAAATGTAAAAAACTTCGTACATAAAAGTATAGTTGTAATTTCTAATTAAAACAATTTTTTATTAAAACAATAAAGCTTGCCTTGAGAGCTGGTAATGAGAAAGAGGAAGGAGAGACAGCAGACACTGTTGGCTGCTGTTCATTGAGAGTTGAGCATATCACATTGCACAATGAGAAGGATGGAAAGCAACATGTTGTTGAATTTGACTTCCTGGGTAAAGATTCCATCCGGTATCAGAATGCAATTCCAGTTGAGAAAAGAGTCTTCAAGAATCTGCAGCTTTTTATGGAAAACAAACAGCTAGAGGATGACCTTTTTGATAGACTGAATGTAAGAATAATGCTGAATTAAAATTTATGTTTATTTTTTAAGATTGTTGGAAATTTTAATATCAATTTAATCTGTGAACAATTTTCAAAGAACCATAGTTCTTGTCTGATGACATTAAAAATTAGTTTTTTTTTCTGATTTGGTTATATACTCCATTTTAGACCACCATCTTGAATAAACATCTTCAAGACTTGATGGAGGGGCTTACAGCTAAAGTATTCCGTACCTTTAACGCATCTAAGACTTTATCAGAACAACTGGCCTTGCTTACTAACCGTAAGTTATTATACACAACAAGTACTTAAACATACAAGTAGACACATCCATTTATTTACTAAAAGATTTTTTTACTACCTCTTTGCTTACTTTTCAATAATTAAATTTTTTTTAACAGCTAATGATTCAGTAGCAGCTAAGATGTTAGCTTACAACAGAGCCAACAGAGCAGTTGCTATTCTGTGTAACCATCAGCGTGCTGTACCAAAAACATTTGAAAAGTCCATGGAAAATTTGATGAAAAAGGTATTGGTACAATTCCTACTATCCCTTCTTAACCTGCAGTTTACCCATTTTTTTTTAGAGGGATTGTGTGGTCAGTGCAGCCTTTTTAATTTTGCTGAGTCATGCCAATCCATTTTTTTTTATCAAAACCTTGCAATAAATTATTTTAAAAAGTGCTTTTTATATAGTTTGATAGTATTAGGGGATTAATTCTATATTATCCATGCCTAGATTGATTCCAAAAAAGCAGAAATCAAACAAGTGAAGAAGGAAATAAAAGGCATTAAGACAGACTATAAGAAGGAGAAGTCTGTTAAGACAAAGACGTAAGTAATTTTATAAAAATTTTCTCTGTTGAACAGATGATATTGATATATTGTTTTTTTTTAATAAAAAATAACAATCCCTTACTTTTAGCTAATTTTATTTGGTAGCAATTGCCAGAACTTCATTATGACTTCCCTTTTTATTTTAGTCATATTATTATTGAATAGATTAAATAAGCAACATGTTATTGTCAAATAGAAAAAGACAAAAACTATTGAAATAAAATTAGTTTATTACAGAAAATAATGGTGGTGGGTGGTCATTAAAATTGATTTAATTTTGTACTGTTCATAGGTTAATGCAACCAAAGTACATTTTCTTTTAAATAATTTTCAGCATGTATGAAAAAAAGAAAAAAACCCTGGCCAGATTGGAAGAACAACTTACAAAGTTGGAGGTTCAAGCAACTGATAAGGTATTTAATATAGTTACACGGAGGAAACTTTTTAAAAATAAAATCTAGACCTTATATTAACCAGTAAATTAACCAGACCTAATTAAAGAAATAATCCATCTTCAGGATGAAAATAAAGAGATAGCCTTAGGGACATCTAAACTCAATTATTTGGATCCCAGAATCTCAGTGGCTTGGTATGTATTTACTGTAGCATTATTCTTTTTGTTACATTTTATTTACGTGATCCATTATACGTTTTGTGTTGTACTACTTACATTCTTTCCAATCCAGGTGCAAGAAATTCGGTGTGCCTTTGGAAAAAGTCTACAACAAAACTCAGCGAGATAAATTTAGGTGGGCTATTGATATGGCTACAGAACACTTCAAATTTTGATGAGAGCAGGATTATAGCTGTACATTATTTGATTTGCACGTTGATGTTTTAAGAGATGATTATGAAAAACTGATGGTTTGTTTACACATTACCAGTCATTATTGTTTTAAATTATCCTTATTGACTGACAGGACAAGTATATGGCTGTTTCAGTACAAATGAAATGGTATTATTTTTCTCTCAATTTCTATTACTTATATGTCGTAAAATATTATTTTTTAAATTTATTTGACAATATAAGAAAAGTACTTCAGATCATTATTGAAAAGTGTTGCTTGTATTCATAGAAATTATTCAATTTTGTATTAGTGCATTCAGTTTTTCTAACATTGCCTAAACTAGAGGCAAATATGAAGGTAAAAACACATTTTTTTTAAATTATGAAAAATTATGGTTTAACCACTGTTACTTTTATTTGAAAGCCTGCAACTTTTTACTTGGCTATTTTGAGGTTTTGCTCAATAAATTGAGTTGATCATATTTTGCCACAATCAAAATTTTTTTTTAAAAAGTTATCACTACCTACAAATATTTTAAGTGAATCATTTTAAACCAGATGGATAGGCAGTAAGTTGTTGTTCTGGAATCAGTATTTACTGAGGCTTTCAGCTGAATTAATTTTACAAAGGTAAAAGTAGTTAAATTTGAATGCATTTAATAGAATTTGTGATTGATACCTCTTATCAGAGTGGCTGTTAGTTATTTTGTCATTCTGTACCTTTTTACATCAGTATTTTTCTATGTTCCTCATTGGTTTTAACCATTAAGTTAGCAATATCTTGTTATGGATTAACACTACAAGGAAAGCAGCCTAGAAATAGTCATCGCATTAACTTTTTGGCTATTGTAAAGAATATTTTATTCAAATTTTACTTCATTTTGTTGATAGCATTTGTTTCCATTGTATATATGATCAGTATAGTACATGTTGTCTGTTGTATTTAACCTTGTTAGACCATACTGTGTAATTTCCACTAACAGTTTTGAGTTCACAACTGAGGGAATTTTAATCCACGCATCAATTCATGACCAATGTAGTAGTGTTTGAATTGTTTAACTAAAGGATGCATGTTCTCGACTAAACTCAGTGTCCAACTCATGATTCCAGTGTTACCACACTGTGGTGGTACCCTTGTTTGTTTTATATAGAAATCTGTAGTTTGCTTTGTTTCATTTTTTTATTCTTATTTTGTGGAGAGTACTACATAACTTAAGATTACATTATGTTTAAGTAATACAATGTTTACCCTGATGCATTAAATTTTAAGAATACAAACAAATGAGATTAAATTATTTTGTTTTAACTTACATCAACTACTTAACAAATACATGTTTTTTTGAGGTCTCGTCATGAGTTTATGTTTAGTGAAACTTGATTAGAAAAGAGCATGTTAAAACATCTGAAAGATAAATTGATGTTAAACAAGTTGGGTTGCAGTAAGTCACCTGTGAAAGTGAAGTAAAAGATGAAATCATTAAACTATTGTAAGCTAGTGGAATGCAATTTATTGTGTACATTGATTTTTTTAATAGTATTTCTACTGCACTGATTTAAGTTACATACTTTTAATATTTTTACAAATGTCTAATTTTAAGGAGGGGGGGAGGGGGGTGAGTACAATTGTGATATTTTATATTGAAGTGCATGCCACATAAAGTTGACAGATTTTTAACATTTTATCTGTATGTCACTTAAAAGTACTCAATCACTTGGATTAATAAATAATTAGCTTATCCTGGCTACAATTTGTTTTATGAAGCCTTTGCCAGGATTTCATCAATAAAATTACTTTCAATTTGTATTGTCTGGCTGAAGTGAATCTGCTGTTTTTTTTTAATTTTATTATTTTTAAAATACAAATCTCCATGGCCAATGCTTGGTCTTGTCCACGCCTTTGTTAGGCATACACAGAATTGTTAAATAAAAAGATCATAATTTCATTCTCCTTTCACATTGAAAAAGCCAAACTTTCTTGGGGTGTAAATTAAAAGGACAGAACATGTATTGTATTAGACGCAGCACTAAAAATTGTTGATTTTAACTGTTAATAATATTTAAAGTAAATCATCAAGTATTTACATTTGTCTCAACCATTTTATTTTATTCATCAGTATATGTTTTTTATTTTGGTATGTAAATCTTGTTAAAAGCATAGCCACTATAAATTTATTTCTCAAAAGAAAGTATTTGCCATTTTGTTTGAGATACATGTTACTTGCCTATTGTATTGATTGAGTCTACTTTTATTATTGTTTATTTGAGCAACTTTGTAGTCGATTATCATATCAATAAACTTGTCATTATTATTACCTTGGTACTGATATTTTTGGTGTAGTTTTAGGGTTCTCAGTTGAGCCATGGCGTTAAGCGTTGAATTGGGGGTAAGGCATTGTGTTAGGGGTTCAAGTCATCTTAGGGTTCTGATTTGGGCCAATGTATAAAGGGTTGATTTGGGTTGTTGCATTGTGTTAGTGGTTTAAGTATAAGGGTTCTGACTTGAGCCACAGTGTAAGGGGTTAAATTTGGGTACCAAGTTAAGCCATATGGTCAAATGTTGCTGTATTGTTGGATTGGGGTCAGTCGAGACTTTTGTCCAGCTGGTATAGGATCTCATTCAACAGACACAAATCTGTTGAGGGACAATGTATATAACTACACCAAATGTGTTGACTGGTGGGAGGGGAGATACAGTTGTATTCACCTGAAGTGGGGTGACGTTTTAAGTTGACCATAGACCTACATGTCATGTTTTTAAAAACGACTCCTAGAATTCTTATGACCAAGAATGTCATATTTGTAAGAATGTTAACATATGTATATCCAAAGTATCCACTAGTTGTGTATCAGCACTACAGTGATGAGAGTTCTTATGACTAGTATGTCATAGCTGTATGAGTATGTTAACAAATGTATGTCCTACACAGCTACTATTATAGTCTTCATGCTACATCAGTGATCACATACAATCTTTATGGCCAGTACATCATATGTGTAAGAATGTTAACAAATGTATGTCTAAAACATCTGTTAGTTGTGTATCATAATCCTAATGGCACTACACTGATCACATAGAATTCTTATGGACAGTATGTCGTATGTAAGATTCTTTAGTCTTCATGCTATTACAGTGATCAGAAAGCACTCATTGATATTGTCTGGACAATTTTTTTTTTACATTATGACTAATGCCACTTGTATACACGTGAATGTTTCCCTTATGTACATAATACATAATCACACATGCAATTCTCTGGAGTCAGACAATATTTTTGTTACTGCGTCAACAATGCAATGGGGGAAATGTTTATGTTTACTTGGTCTGCCTTTTACATTGTAATTGTACACACCAGTAGAAAGTCATTGGCCCTACACTCTAACCTCGAGACCATCGTATATGATAACAGGCATTAATAAAGTTTTATGCTAACATCCGTTGATTTGTTTGTTTATGTTTCTGTTGATTTTCATTATTATCTTACTTCATTGGAACCAATGAGTAAGGACCATTTTAAAGGTATTTTATTTTTAAAAATATGGTTTTAAAACAAACTTCTGAGATCAAAGGTGGGATTTAATAAAATATAAATTTGGTAGGACGTTCAGTAGCCCTGTCAATGTCATGGGACGAATAACGAAAATAAGCCGGTTGTCTCCCTTGCATTGTTTCCCACGTCGATTTAATTAATAAATAAATCAAATACAAAAATCTTTACTGATAATAAGCTTTTAAATGCACTGAATATAATAAATTAAAACAAAATTGTTTTCTTTCATAAAGTATTTGTTGCTTAAATGTGGAAGAAAATAAGAGAGATCAATTCTTTTATTACAGAAAAAAGGCCTAAGTTTGTTTTATGTACTTACTTTCAGTACCATAAAAGACATATTATTACTAAGGTCTTTAATAAATTTTTTTTCATTTTTTGAGTAATTAGTTTTTAAGAGGTTAACGGCACATAAGACTAAAAATATTTGCATTAAAGCCATAGTCGACGCTCTTGCCAAAAATCACTTTTTCGTCGACTACCAACAGATTGAGAGAGATTGCTAGTATTTAATATAGTTATCTCCCTTTTAATTATTGGACTAAACAATTTTATAATTTGATTAAAATAGATATTCTTGCATTTTCAACGGAGACGATTGTCTTCAGAATGCTTAAATAAAATCACTGCATGAGAAATGGCTTAACATTTTGTTAAAATAGGTTTGCCACAATCCACAAAAATAAATAAATTAATTCTGAACTAAACATAAGTTTTAAAAAATAGTGAGAGCCTATTCGGCTACATCTGTGCTTTTGGTTCAGTTGTATCAGTGTTATCACCAAGATGAGTTTCTGCCAAGCGTTTCACCGCTCCCCCAGACGAAACATAAAAAATAAATAAGTTATAGATCTATAGAGAATTTATACTTAAGCCAGTGTTCGATGGAAAACGTCTGGAGGAAACCATTACACCAAGCAATTTTACTTTAAGACCAGTGTTTCTTCCAGACTTTTTTCTCCGGGGGGGGGGGGGGGGACTTGAAATTTTCGGGGGGCGGTAGACTTTCTTCGGGGGGGGGGGGGGCGGACACTATTAAAAGTATATATTTTCTATATAAATTTCATTTCGTTCGGGGGGGGGGGGGGTAAAATTTTTTTCGGGGGGGGGCAAACGAAGAGATTCCTGGAAGAAACTCTGTTTAAGACGATGTCAGCCTACCCTCGTGGAAGATTGTAAACAACCGGAATCCGAGCCTTCTAGACTTAACTATTGTATTTAGATTTTTAAAAAAATAGTACATTACTATGACATGTAATTACATGACATGTACATTACTTTTTTTGCAAGAAAAAAAATCAACATTATTCAGTTTGGAGTGGGCTTATGACCTGCTGGCTCAGTGTTATTTTCAAACAACAGAACCTTTTGTAACCGTAGCCATGGCGGTGATAGATGTCTGGAAGAAATTCTGCACACAACCCCATGGTGGGGTATAATACAATAACACAGGAAGTCATTTACTTGTGCAGGGTTCAGCAATCTGTATCTTCTTAGTCTCGTGCAATTCTTTACTTTATTTACATCAGGAGTTGTGGTTCTTGTCATGGGTTATCGAACCTTGAATTTGACGATGCCAACAAGAAATTTTTTTTTTTAAATAAAAGTATCGCTTTGAAGTTTTTAATGTAGTTTGTTCAGTTTAAAACCTGATTAATTTTAACTTTCTGAGCATCTATATAAACACTATAAAAATGTATCTTAAAAAAAAGAGGCGTTGGAGGCCTTGAAATAGTTTGCTTGTAAAGTAAAAGACAGAAAACAGGCAGTCGTCATTATTCCTTATTTTATTGATGTATTTAATTTTCTATATATAAACCTATCAATCATTAAAAATACAAAGGATCTCCAACATGTAAGATACGAAGAGGTGATTTGACCCACGTTACAAGGTAACAGCAGTATATACCTCCTTACATTCCTCTGTACGTAAGCCGTATTCATATTTCATTGTTTACAAAACAAAAAAAAGTAAGCTGGTTAAGCCATCAACAACATAGAAAAAACCTCTTTGAGAAACACAACTTAATTTCATTTAAGTTTACCTAGCCTTAGGCTTTACATATTAATGCTACCCCTATGAAGGGCTTGACTGTGTTATTGAATATTGTTTTGTATAGGCACAGTGTGGCATATAATATTTTATCTTGTTGACTTGTTGCGTACTGTATTTTGTTAGGTCTGAGTCTCGGAATACGGGTGGGCTTGGGATGGGTCTGGGTCTGGGTCTGGATGTAGGTCTAGGTCTAGGTCTAGGTCTAGGTCTAGGTCTAGGTCTAGGTCTAGGTCTAGGTCTAGGTCTAGGTCTAGGTCTAGGTCTAGGTCTAGGTCTAGGTCTAGGTCTAGGTCTAGGTCTAGGTCTAGGTCTAGGTCTAGGTCTAGGTCTAGGTCTAGGTCTAGGTCTAGGTCTAGGTCTAGGTCTAGGTCTAGGTCTAGGTCTAGGTCTAGGTCTAGGTCTAGGTCTAGGTCTAGGTCTAGGTCTAGGTCTAGGTCTAGGTCTAGGTCTAGGTCTAGGTCTAGGTCTAGGCCTAGGCCTAGGTCTAGGTCTAGGTCTAGGTCTAGGTCTTTGGCTGTTTGTGTTAGGGTCTAGGGCAGGGCCTGGGGCGGTCTGGGGGAAGGTTCTGGGGCAGGGTCTTGGTTTGGGTCTAGGTCTGAGACAGGGTGCATGTGTAGGTGTAAACTGTGAGAGCAGAGTTTCTTCCAGGCATCTCTTCTTTGCCTCGAAACACAACGCTGTGATATTGTGTTATTTGTGTTAACAGGCCTAGTGGCACTTGGGTAAACTTGAAAACAAAACATTGGAGTGAAGTTGGCGGTCTGGGTCCATTGTGTTGTTTCTTTGGATTTGTTCGTGAATTCAATAGCTAGATGTGTATGTTAGGTGTCATTGTTGAAGCCCCCCCCCCCCCCCCCCGAATTTTTTTTACCGCCCCCCCCCCGAACGGAATGAAATTTATATAATTTATATAGAAAATATATACTTTTAACAGTGTCCGCCCCCCCCCCCCGAAGAAAGTTTACCGCCCCCCCCGAAAATTTCAAGTGCCCCCCCCCCCCCCCCGGAGAAAAAAGTCTGGAAGAAACACTGTGTGAGAGTTGGAAGTTAATGTGAGACCATGAGTGACAGCAACTTCCGTGCAAACACAAACTGGTGTACTCTAGTCATGTATTTTAATGTACGACAGCCATCTTTAACAGACGTATCTCCTCGTATATGTAATGTTGAACACAAATCCCGTTTGACAACTTATTATTCTAATGTACAGACGTGCCAACTGCACCTCAACTTACACACCGGATGCAAATTGCTGATTGTAATCTTATCTACACGCATTTAAATATTGTTTTTTTTACAATAACGCTATTGTTAAAAAAAAAAACATTCCATAACCAAACTGCCGCTCACAGTGTTTCTTTCAGACATGTTTAGGGGGAAGGGGCGGACTTAAATAGACTTTTTCTGAGACTCCCACTTAAGAAAAGCCTGAAAGAAAATGGTTGCTTAACACCAACTTGACCCAACTCTCGTGCATTAAAATTAATGCTAAACATAAAAGTAGGTACAAAGCGATATATATATATATATATATATATATATATATATATATATATATATATATATATATATATATATATATATATATATATATATATGTATATATATATATATGTATATATATATATATATATATATATATATATATATATATATATATATATATATATATATATATATATATATATATATGTGTGTGTGTGTGTGTGTGTGTGTTCCTTATCAATAATTTAGCAATTGAAAAGAAAGCTAAACATAAAAGTAGGTACAAAGCGATATATATATATATATATATACATATATATATATATATATATATATATATATATATATATATATATATATATATTATATCTATCTATATATATATATATATGTGTGTGTGTGTGTGTGTGTTCCTTAACAATAATTTAGCAATTGAAAAGAAAGCCCATGGGCTATAACTGCCAGCGTAGTTCATTAATTGGAATGTTGTTTAGTAAATAATGCAGGCATCCTTATCCAAGATCTAATATAAAGCATAACAATTTAATTCCAATTAAACAATAGACATTAACGGGGCAATATTTACTTTCTTAATACTAACCCTTGTTTTTGTCAATACACCTTAAAATGAAAGGGGGAGGGGGAGGATTATGTCCAGTGGTTTTGTTGGGTAGAGGTTTTGTCCGGAAAATGTAGTACTAGGCTGGGTTCGGACCCCGGGCTCGAGTTCGTACAGCGGTCTTGTGGTATAGCGAGGTCCAGCGGTAGAGCACTAGACTGCTAACTCGAAAGTCTTGGGAACGTCCCTGAGTCCACTCAACTCTGATGGGTACTTAGCTTACGTTAGGAACGTAAAGGCGTCTTGGCATAGTGCTGACCACATTGTCTCTTCAAATATTGGGTAAAAACAAAACAACATGTAAACTCTACTTCACTTGCCACATGGACCGTTGGGTTCCAAAAGGGAACTTTACATTTGCTCATCTATCTGTTTATTATATTTTTTATATTTTCGTATTCCCAAAAATGAAAGAACCTCTATAAGGACAAGCGCAAACAAGTTTTAAACCAATTTTTCATCCCCCACAAAAACCAAGCCGTACACATATTCCTTGAGGCAAACGTGAAGTATTCATACCCAAACAAACATGACGCAGACATCAAACCACTGAGGGATGAGGGGGGGATTAGGCTTTTAATTAATAGGATTAGCGTTGACGTAAGCCTGTGATTAAAAAAAAGGATCTTAACATGTATGTTCAAAACACACAAGCAGACTTTTTCTTTATTTTATTATCTTCTTCTTTAGACTCAAGCTGTCAAGATGTGAAGCATATACTTCTTA